TCGTTATTTGAATTCATTTATAACGTTTGAAGTTTTAATGAAATCAATGATGAAGGCAACTTTTGACAAAAATAAACTGGCGACCACAGTGGGAGCGCAGCAGATGGCAGCTGCGTTTGGCAGCGCTTGGAGCTGTGTTGAGCAGCAGATGGCAGCTGCGTTGAGCAGCAGATGGCAGCTGCGTTTGGCAGCGCTTGGAGCTGTGTTGAGCAGCAGATGGCAGCTGCGTTGAGCAGCAGATGGCAGCTGCGTTTGGCAGCGCTTGGAGCTGCGTTGAGCTGCGTTTGGTAGCTTGGAAGCTGCGTTTGGCAGCAGATGGCAGCTGCGTTTGAGCTGCGTTTGCAGCTTTTGGAGCTATGTTTGCGCTGCGTTCGTGGCTATGAACGCGGTGCGTCTTGATGCTGGTGTGCGGGGAGGACTTCCGCAGCTTGATTTGAAGAGACCGTCGATTTGTAGTCTCTTTCTGTCGAAGCATTGTAAAGATCGTCATTTTGTAATCTTTGCTTTAGCTCTCTGATATGTGAGAGTCGTCAGATTGTAACTCCCGATGTTGATTATGAAAGCTGTTTGATTAGAGCTTCCATCAGTTATCGTGAAGGTCGTCAGATTGTAACCTTTAGCGATCTACGTAAAAGTCTTCAAATTGTAGCCTTCTGGAAGTCGTCAGATTGTAACTTCCATCATCGGTGTTTTGATGGGGATCAGCTATTTATTGTGATTTTTAGACAGCCTACAAGAGTGATCGAGCACTTCAACACAAGAGAGTTCTTCATCAGATCTACATCACCCGTATCCGTTCCTTAGCATTACCCCTCGTCGGTAATCCTAAGAAGAGCAAATATCTCGCTTTATCCGAGATAGGCGCTCCAAGTTTCTAGATCTCCTCGCGGATCGACGAAGCTCTGCCCGATTTTTCTGGATCAGATCTGATTGCCAGGTAGTCCACGGATATCGACGTCCCCGTCACAGGCTAAAGACCCACGCAAGCAAGAGACGATAAACGGATCTTGTGTTTATTTTCAAGAAAGTTGTAATTTTTATTTTCGTTATTTGAATTCATTTGTAACGTTTGAAGTTTTAATGAAATCAATGATGAAGGAAACTTTTGACGAAAACATGTATGGTCGAGACGTCTGCTCGAGGAGTCGTCTTAACTACGAGGGACCGACTGATCCCGCACTTCGAGTTGGTAATGATGACCCTTGGTCAAAAAATGACTTGTCTGTTCGGCTGGCAGATAGACTTGCCCTTGGCTGGGCTTTTGGGCCTCTAAGCTGGTTTGGACCATGTCTTTTTAAAGCATTTGCAGACAATCTTTCGGTATCGTCATCTTTAGATGGTAAATTACCATAACACTAAAGCCAAAATTTGCTTTGAAACAAACACTCTATATAAAATCCCATAGATGAAAATCAGGCATTTTTGCTCTAAGAATTTCAAATCCACCTCAATTACTAAAAAATTTGTTGAACCAAATAGCCCCTTACCTTGTTAAGGTTATCTCCCACAAAAAAAAAAAACAAAACACAAGGGTATAGAAAGAGATGCAAGCATACCCATTTATGAGATTTGCCAACTCCTCTCTAATTGAGAGGATTTAGCAAATTCTCAAATTTGGGTATTTTTTGCTCTGTTGGATTCAACATTCTGAAAAAATTATTGAACCAAACACCGACTATGAAATCCCAAACCCCCAAAAAGCACACTTTTTTATCCCAAAATTTGTAATTCACACTAAATTTCAAATTTTACTTGAACCAAACAACCCCTTAACGGTGCTGCTTTGAGGGTTGACGTAAAAACCTTAGAGGAGTTTAGGAGAATAAAAAAATTTCAGGTTATCCAGAGCTCTTCAAATTTCAGAGGTTTTTTTGAAATTGAAATAGTCAAGGGTTTTACCTAAAAAAACCAAGAGTTAACGGGGTATTCAAAAATTAACGTAATAAAATATGAATGATTATAATTACGCTACACTTTTCTATACTACTCCCGCACTATAAGAAAAAAGAAGCATTGACTCTCTTGATGAGTCATCAATTTTGAAAAAAGTTAAATAGGTTGGGCCGCACAATGTTCTCTTTTGTACTGTAGAAGTACTATAAATGGAATAATGTAGTCATCGCTATTCATAAAATATGAATATCATTGAAAGTTCTATTGAGAAATGAGATATTCATAAGCTTTTATGAGCAACGATCAACTTAGCCTAACTTTGTAGCCGAACAGTGATGTTTGTGATTAATATTGCCCTCCAGCTCTGAGATGGGAACCCACAACGGTGCCACCGCGTACTACTGCTAGAATTTCGCCGACATTTTTGTTTGGGTTGCATTGCATGTGGCTACAAATATCGTTGGCAGACTGTCAAACTCGTAAAAATTAATAGAGAAACCCTAATTGTGTGATGAAAATTTGTGACAAGCAATTAACAAGAGATGATAATGTCAAACTATAAATGCTGCATGTTTCAGTTATGGAACATATGCAATTTTCTTTATAAAAGATTTTAAATTGAAAAGTTGCTGGCAAATTATCTCTTCGACCTCAGTTAATAGCTTATTATTATGGCGTTCTCAAGTAGAGATTATGAAGGGGGTTCAAATCTGAAACTTTCTCATAATTCAACCTTGTGCTATTTTTGCTCACAAAAGTATTATGTTTTCTATGATTATTATTATTATTATTATTATTATTATTATTATTATTATTATTATTATTATTATTATTATTATTATTAGGGAAATATGATTTTAAGGAATCACCTTAGACTGAATCTAAGGATGCACCTCTCAATGTATGGATTGGGCTATTTCAATGGACGATCCGCTCCATTCATCATTATCTGAATATCTTAAAGCATCTACAAAATAAAAATCATGATGTTTAAATATTTCTGACACATATTTTTCATTATCTCTTTGGTTGTATTATCATAAAACCGTTAAATTTACTATCACTTGATGCATTAGTAAATACAACCCAATATGACTAATTTTTGGTTTATATGTCATCCGAATCATATAGATCAAAATGAATAGAGTGGATTGAGTAAATTGATTACGTATGATCTAATTTTGAAGGTGCATCATTAGATTCAATTTAAGGTGGCTTCTTAGAATCATATTTCCCTTATTATTATTATTATTATTATTTTCCCTCCTCTTTTTGGACGCATCTCATTTATTGTGATCTAAGAAATGAGTTTTAATGAAAGTTTAGATGCGGTGGAATGAACTTTAAGGTTATATCAGAGAAAATCAAGTTTAGATTTCCACCATTATGCATTTAAAAAGTGATCCAAAACATATATTAGAAAGATTGAGTGCTAAAAGTATTTATTCAAGTAATTTCCATCGAGTTGGTACTTATGAATATTTACCACCACTTAGATAATTGGTAAAGAAAAAGAACCCATAATTTAAGTCTACAAATTTTACAATCAGAATCTTGTGCCTTATCAAACACTATACCCCAATGCCAGTACTACATTTCTTTTAAGAGCATGTTTGAAAACTTCGAATTATAATCCAAAGTGGATTATAATTCAGAATATTTGGTAAATTTGATAGATCATAGCTCATTTTCGGTAGTAAATGTTTGTTAGATGGTGAATTATAACATGTCATTATTATCAAAATGACCAAAAAGAATATAGGATTTATGGTGAATTATTAAATGAGATCTAAAATTTTGTGAAATCATAACCTAGAGTGTAAAAGATCTTATGGATTACAATCCAATTTGACCATTTCCAAACACGTCTTACTGTTTTTTTTTTATTTAATTTCTTTTAACAAAAAAAAAACTTACTCTGGATGCATAAAAGTACTATTTCATCAATATGAAGCTATCCAATAGTCAAATTTCTGACCTACTTTTGTGATTTTTAAGAAACAAGTCTTAAAAAAAGAAGGAAATCTGAGCTTGATATAGGTTGATATCATAGGTTGCTACAGGGACCCAAAATATGGGACCAATAGAGGGGACAAGTGAGGTGTTCTTCTCCTATTGGATAATGAGTTGACTATCATTAATGATGACCAACTCATTATCCAATACGAGTGAGACACCTCATGTGTCCCCTCTATTGGTCCCATATTTTGGGTCCTTGAGGAATTTTTCTATTGAATTTGGGCTAGCCTTAAAAGCTATACGACCCGTAGCTCCCTTATGATGGGCCTTTTCGCAATAATCCCTTTATGTCCTCATCTCGTGATTAGGATCTAAATATAGAGGGAAAGCATCTTTTACTTAAATTAACCACCACTTTATTTACAGCTTTGATTCATTTTCAGATCTTTTTCCAGGCGAATCTCTTTCAAACTTGTGACCGTATAAGATTTGTCTTTTCAAAAGAAAGGCTTGAACGATTTCTAGTGGTCCCTCTTGGATGCGATGGAACTGGGATATGCGTTCCTTCGGAGATGAAGGTCCTTGTCAATATTTAGACAAAACAAACAAAACATTATGACAAAAATGAGAAATTTATATAAGCAAGAGAAACGTACAAATATAATTGTTATCTAATTGATGAACTCTTTTTAATCGTTCACATAATCATATTTGATTGAGGACTTAATTAAAGATTTCAGAGGAGGCCATTAGATGCATATGAAAAATACACTATTACATTGAAATTAATTCGAAAAAAAAATAGTTAGGTTAGGGTTTATGGTGGAATGTCAGGTGAACATAACATAGTTAGGATTTAAAAAGAAATTAGCCCATAAAAACCAGCCCATAGAAAGGGGTAAGCCCATAAAAAGCAGCCCACAATGGATGCAGAACAATCTCATGATGTAGCTACTTTGCAGTAGAACAAACATCCATGGATTAGGCAATTAAGCCCACAGATTAAATAGCAGACTACTTCAGAGCTAGAATTTATAGGAATCTAAGAAAAGCCCAAGAAGCCGTTGCCCGAAACCGTAGGCAACGATGTCAATTTTACACCTGAACAAAAGCAAACGATAAACAGCGGAGCAGGAAAATATCAGCTCCTCATTCAAAATATAGAAGCATAACCAATAGTTTCAACTTCTCTACTACAATCATCAAATTTATTTAGGAAAGTTAGCCATAACATGCTAGAAATTTAAATATGCATTCTGTGCCTCACGAAGAGCAGCATGCAACTCCTCACCGGGCCTAAAAAACCTCGGTGTCATACAACCAGAATCTGGTGACGGCGGATATAACATTGGCGAAGATGTAGAAAACCTAACGTGTCTATGCGAGCATTCAACTGATTTCCTCGATCTCGAGTTGCTCTTTTTCAGCACCCCCTTTGGTTCTCTATCGAACACAAATGCGGTATTAACGGGAGAATGAGTGTCATGTCCTCCACCTCCTCGGATGAGCTCCAGTGGCAAGTCGAAGTAAGCATTGATGCCATCTTCATAATCATCTTCGACATCGCTTAAAATGATAGAAGAAGACCAAGATGCACACTCAAATTTCTCAAGAGAAGCCACCCTTGATGCCCTCTCTTCTTCTTTCGCTTCAGTTTCATCCTCGTCATTCTCCTCATCCTGTTCCTCTTTGGCTCTCTCTTGCTTCTTCTTAGCAAATCCAGGCACGAACAAACACAATGCCCCACACTTGAATTCCTCTTCTTTCTGGGGAGTCATTTCTTGATAAACTGTCGAGCTGCTTTCAGATATCGAAAATTTAGGAGGCCGATCAGGGAAACCATGTTGTTTTCTGGACAAAATATCAAACTCATCAGAAGGTTGGGATGATCGCCCATCACCACAGGATTTGCTTCTTGAAAGCGTCATAGATTGTTGACGAGCCAACGCCTGATGAAATGCTGGATGAAGCATTTGAGCTTGACTACTCCACTTCTTGAAGCCATTGGACCCAGAGGAATTGAATTCTGGTGATGAGGTTGCTGAACCAGGAAGGCTCGCGCTGATGAACTTGGGCTTTATCAATGGCGGAAGGATTGGCGGTGGATGTTGCAATGACATAGGATCCACTGATATTTGCTTCTCCGCATTTGTATTAAGCTCATCTTCTTCGTCCTCTTCTTCTCCAAATATTTTGGAGGAAACCATTGCATGAACAAAACTAACAAGGATGGTTGGTTAGTAGTATTTCAAGGAGTGATAGTTGACTTGGGAAGATGGAGAGCATGATCTGGCTTAGTGTTCTGCATGTATTGTAGATTTGTAGGATACCTTAAAGAAAGGGTTCATTGCCCTTAACCCCGCTGAACTTTCGCGGTGTTGCACATAACCTCTCTGAACTTAACTCAATTCTGCAATAACCTCCCTAAACCTTGCTCACTCCCCCCCCCCTCCCTCCCCCCCCACACACATCACATCACACACAACCAACAAAAAAAACACCCCCACACACACACGCCAACAAAAAGAGTAATGCTAAGCACGTGATAGAAGAAGAAGAAAATGCCCCTCAGTTTATTAGAAGTTACCGTTTTCAAAAGGGACATTTCTATATATCCCCATTGAATGATAACGATGTCACGGGGTTCTATTGAGGGAACTTAGAGTGTGTTTGGAAATCTCTCAAAACTGGGCTAGGTTCAAACTGGGTCTAGTTTGGAAATATTTTTTGTTTGGCAAACAACAGGGCTAGATCTGGCCACGTTTTCATAGGCCAAATAGCGGTCTTAAACTGGTTTTCATTTAAACTGGTTTTCATTTGGACCAGGAAGGTGCTGGTCCAAATGAAAACCAGGACTGATCCTGGCCCAGCTTTGTGTAGTTTGCCAAACTAACCCTTAAAAAGTTCAAAAGAGTCAAGTCAGACATTCAAGATCACGTGGAATAAACAAAGTTTAGGGAGTTAAGTAAAATTAACCTTAATAAACACATAAAGTAGAGTTGTATATTTGATGAAGACTATGATACCTGGGAGAGATACATGGCTACCTCAAAGGAATTCATACCTGGGAACTTTGGTAAAATAAAAGGCCTTTGACTATGCTAATTGTAGTGATCTTCAAGAAACTATACAGGTTCGGGATCTGTGATAGCTTGGACCATACATAATAATCCTTAAACTTATGTACCCTAGCTTGAGTAAAGAGCACACCTATAGGCAGGTTAAAACAAACAAGCGTGCAACAAATAGAAAATAAAAGTAAAGGATTGAAAACACTCAACTGGCCATATAAATATCTACTGAAGGAACTTGAGAAATGAGCATTGTAAGTAATATTTTTAGAATAAGGTACGAGATAGTTGTATTCAGTGTTTATACATGTACAAGCAACAAGCATAAAAAAGAAAAACTGACAACATTTTTTTCAAATAAATTAATACTGGATAAGCTCTCAACATGACAGGTTTGGTTTGTGATAATTTGTGACAGTCCTCCAAAAGAAATACAAACTCAAGTTTTTCTTGAGGCTTCTTTAAGCAGAAAGAAAGGAAGCAAGAAAGAAAGAAAAGAGGAACAAAAAAACTTCCAACTACTTAAATCCAAACGATATATTATCCAAGTTTGCAGTCCAAAAGTGAGAGGAAAAAGCCACTGACCAAGGATCGTCTCTCTCTTTGCTGCAGTCTGATAAAAGTAATGGGCTAGACTAATTTAGGACACTACATGATCTAATAATAACAGATACTGGTAGGCCTTCAAGAGAGCTAAAGAAAGAGGAAACTAAAAACACTTACCAAAACTACTTGCATATAAAATATCCAAAGTAGCACTGTGCACTGCAATCCCAAAAGTCAGCTATATTATTTTGCAAGTATTATTAGAAGGTCTTATATTCTGAAATAAAATCAAATTTCCAAGATTGATCTGCATCCTTCACTTTCGACGTCCAGCACTATGATTTGCAACTTGACCAGGTTAGCCAGAGAACTAAGAAAGGTAATAATGCAGCCAAATACAGCATGAATATAGTTTTATGTACAAATACAAGGTTTCAAATACAAAGGTGATACATATTACCTACACCTGATATACAGAGCATATTCTACTGTATCACTCAGATATTTAACATATATTATTACAAAAATAGAGGTCAAAGCCGACCTGAGCATCTATTGCTCCAATTAATAGAAACAACTAACTTTAGTAACAAATGAATATTGCTACTGTAACGAGTTGTAGAAAAGGATCAATACAACAGATATGCCAATTAATATAGGCAAACCAGTCACCAAATAGAGAGCACTGTATCCCTGCACATGTTTGGAGCATGAATTTTTAGCATCAGCTACAATATGACATAACGGCAAAATTCAAGTCTACAGCGGAATATGTCGTGGGATTGAATCCAGTATGATGGTTTAAAAAAATTACATCAGAGTGAACTCAGACTTGAAATGTTCCAACTATCTGTAAACAGTTTGTAGGAAAAGATTTTGTTGAATAGGACTTACCACTGCTGCGGGTACTTCTACCTCATCACTGTCATCTTCCTCTTCAATGTCAGCTGCAGTATCCCAGTCAATATTTAGTCTCTTGGCAGCTTCTCGAGGATCGATTCCAGTGTCTGTAGCTCTTGCATAAAGAGATTTCCGGGGTTTTGTCTTTGGTGCTTCAACCTGTACAGAAGTCATTGGGAAGGATTACTCCACTTCTATGGTAATAGAAATCCCAGCAAACCCCATTCAGTCCCAGGAACAGTACGTATGGATTATTTAAGAACACTATTAACCATCTATGCTAGGTTTGACAAAGTGAAGAGTATGAGTAATGATATCGATATAGAGGCAAGTCCATGAGGTCAATAAAGGTAAATATTGATGTATTTGGATTGGCAGGCCATAAAAGAGGGAAAGCTGAAGACGGAAGATGTAAAAAAGAATTCAACAACTTCTTATGGTTGGTACTTACCTTCCTAAAAAGAACACTTGGAAATAGACTCATAGGTCCAAGTAGAACTTGAAGGATAAGTAAACAAGTATTTGAGTTTATTTCTGAGAGCCACCCTAAGAAAATAAATTTTTTTATAAGAGAAATTATAGAGACCAACCTTGCCCCAAAATTAGTTTTCCTTCTCCAACTAGAAGGTCAGAAAACAGTACTAATTTCGATTTGATAACATTTCACACAAAGTGATTGTTGCCCACGGGCTCCTAATGTAACAGAAGGGAAAATTTTCGGGGTGCTTTATGCAATGCAATTTAGTTGGTTCGAATTGGTAATCCTCAGAGCAACATGACCAAACGATATTTATCTTTTGCGAGGGACTAGAGTATAATTCTTTTTGAAACACGATCTCCAAAATTGTTCCCTTGAGACGTGCGATGAAAAGCAGAGTACAAATACAAACTTTAAGAAGCAACAATATCCTATATCATGCTTCTACTCATATAATTCATGCAAAATATTTCATCTTTTTGGAAAAATAACCCTCCTGGCAAACAGGCTTTTAAGTACATAAAATACACAAGTGATATTGTCATATGCAGATTACAGGTTTAGGAATTGGGAGCAGGTGTAAAGGGATGAAAGACAGGTTTATGGATATGGTAACAGGCTCAAGAAAAGTGAGTACTCCAAACCTGAAAGTTGAGCAATTTGAGAAGAAGAGAGCTAGGCGTAGAAGGCTATCCTAAAAGTGGTGCATAGTTTTAAATCCATGATAACTAACGAAGTTACCAAGAGACAGAGAATCACAATTAAGTTAGTTCAATAGTTATCATTAACTAAGAGATGGAGAGGCACGATTCAATTAATTTAAATCGTTATGTCTTCATTAAATACAGGTATGTGGCAGATACATCAATTATATGCTTAAATGAATATTGTAAGGAAGTAGCGTGATTACTTAAAAGGCGCTAGTTGTGATTTTAACATGTTATATAAACATAAGTTTCTTAAAAAATTGAGAGTTTCCTTAGCAAACCATGTGCAGATATAGTTATACCTCAAGATCTGGCCATTGATTCATCTCCTCAGCAAGCAACCGAAGAGCCATACGATTTTCTGGAATTATACCTTCATTCACCTACCAAATTATGACGAACAAAATAAGCATTGTTTTGGAATACATAATTTAAACTAGATTTCCTCATTTAATTGATATTGAAGCAACATATCACTTGCAATATGTAAATTTGCCTACTAAGAGAGAAGATGGTATGTGCATGAAAATGCTTCTTAATCAAAAGACAGTACAATTAGGTCTGCCAACCATACAATATCATAAATGGGAATGCAAATCACTTGTGAGAAGACAACTGTGGTTCCCTCTGGACACTCCAGACTGAACCTTTTGATCCACAGGAAAAAGTTCTGAAGTTTCCCTCTTGAAAATTACGTCCTCATAGACCATCGAAAACCATCTTCTGCTTGTACTGAGACCCCAGCTTCTCAAAATTCTTTAGCAATGCTGCTTGCAATCTTCTATCTTTATTTACATGGTAAATTTCCATCCCTGAAGCCATCAAGCCACCAAAGGAATTGAGCACCTTCTTAGCATCATAATTCATAAGCCTACCCGTAAACTTACAAATATCATATACCAGAAAAAGATTGGCCAACTCCTCTAGTATCCAATTAGTGATCTGTCAAGAAGAACCCATGACAGCCATTCAAATTTCTTTGATTTCTTTTGAGTTCCGGTGCATAACCTTCTAGTAGCTATATTCCAAAAAGATGGTTCAGGTCTAGTACTTCTAGGAAACAAGGTTAACTGAACCTACCCTCTCTGAAACTGAAGTAAAGAAAAGAGCATGCGACAAATCCGCTAAAATGTACTAGTCCGTGTCCGTGCATGTAGGCAAAGGATGAGAGAAGCGAAGCCAAATACACTGGTCAAGTACAGCTATGGGATGAGTTTCTATTTCTATAGTAAAAAAACTAAAGACCCGATTTATTTTCACAGCACCATGTAGAATAAGATAAAAAAACAAGAGAATGACATTCATGATTGAGGAGATTGGGTCATTTCAAAAGAATGGAGCTAGGATTTGGTCAAGCTTCCAATAGGCAAGGATGTAAAGCTTGCAACATGATTCAAGAAAAATAGTAACTACAGGTAAAATATGTAAGATTGACGAAACACGAAATAATAATATCTAAATCATAGCCAATTAACCAGACATATAGACAGTTGATAAAGGATCTGAAGTAATGCATCTTACAGAACTGCGCACATACGTCTTCCAAAGCAGCAGCCAGGTCATCTCTTGTCAATTCGTCAGGATCCTCAATTCCAAGCAATCTTTTCCGTTCAACATCTCTAGGGTCCTCAATCATGATAGTTAACTTCACCTGTAAAGGGAAACAGACAAAGGATGGGTTTATAGTTTTGCATTTGCAAGTATCTATCTAAAAAAAATAAAGAATTAGAGAACAAAAATGTCACGCATCAGACAGATGCCAGCTCCACAATAGTCCTCAGCAGAGAACTTCGAGATCAGGTAAAGAAATTCATGCATTAAATCATGTGATGTATAAGTGGAACGATTTCTGACATCAGTATAAATGATTTTCTGTGATCAAATCTTTTATATGAAAGCTTTACGATGAAGATATCTAGTACAACATGTGACATCTGTTGAAAAGTTATAACATGATGAATTAAATTTATATAGGTTTCACATCATAAAATAAGGATTCCAAAAAGCTATCTTAAAGTTTTACAAATGTTGAGCAGAATTCAGAGGTACCGCAAACCATGAACTCTGAAGAAGGAAATCAATTCAAAACTATATTAAGCATTAAATTTTCAGGCATTGGTGTCAATTTTGTTAAGAAGAACTATCACTAGGAAATAAACGTCTGGAGCCCTCTCCCAAACTTCCAGCATAATTAACAAAATGTGAACATGAAAACTACTGGCAAATGATATCTAAAGCAATTTCTTGTCCATTTAAAATTATAAGATGGCAAAAATGGTACTTTAAGGGAAGAACACACTGAACTCATTATCACTGGAGATAGCAATACAAATGGTGCCTCATAGTCATAGGAACTTCTATATCAATACCCTTTACTTAAAAGTTGATTTTATCTTTCCATCACTGATTGACTAAGTAATTTGACATTGAATTTTTTTAATGGCTCCATTCCAAAAAAAATAGCGGCATCAAAAGAATCCAATCTACATTTCCAATATAACTGAAAATGTAAGTGAGTCAGAGAATCTCCATCTCTTCTACAAGACTACAAGCATCATAAAAATTCACTTTAATATGTCCAAACTACTCCTGGAAGACATGAAAATCTTAGACTCTAAATTCTCCGGTGCTTCCTTACTCTCTCTTCTCCACTCATCAACTATTTTAATGTTCTTCTCCATATACAATTGTTCGTTTGGAACAATCTTATCCTGATCAAGTCTTAAACCTAATACCCATTTCATCTTTGAACTTATTTTACCTTCTCCTCTTCTTTTCCTTGTGGCTCCAGAAATTCTAATCCTAGCCATATTTACAATCAGTATCCAATTTCTTATTGCAGCACTCAAAACCCCTATACCTATCGAGCCCAAGCGATGAATCAGATCCCAAATTATTGATTCTTCAATTCCTCAAATAGCAACCATCATACAATAAAAACACATAATAGCTAATTTACAGCTGCAGCTACTTGCGGCTTTACCGTATTTAAACACGCTTGAAAAGATAATGGGTTTACCTATGAATCTAGTAAAATGTCTAATGTATATTCTTCAATTAAAGAATTGGTACCTGGCCCAGTAATATCCCCCAACTGCCTCCCAAAATTTCCCAACTTCCCACCAGTTATAATTTTAAAATTACACGGGTAAAGAAAACCCTAATGCCCTGTTTGGATGGAGGGTAGAGAGGGGGAGGGGAAGAGAAATGAGGCTTTCATCTTGTTTGGGAGGTATAAGATCATTTGTGTAAATTTACATATATATTCATTCTCTTCCCTTCCCTCCATTATTACTCTCAAACAAGTTATATTAATTTCACCTTCATTCAGCTTATTCAACTCCCAAACAACATATTACAATTCTCTTCCTTTTCTTTCCCTTCCATTCCCTTCCCTTTGTTTACCTTCCCTTCCCTTCCCTTCTCTCCCTTCCCTTATGCCCTGTTTGGATGGAAGGTAGAGAGGGGGAGGGGAAGAGAAATGAGGCTTTCATCTTGTTTGGGAGTTTTTTTAAGGAGGGTAGAGAGGAGGAAGGAAGGGGAAAGGAGGTTAAAATTGTTTGGTTTTCTTCCCCACGATTTGGGCGGTAGAGGAGAGTAAAGGAGGGTAAATGGGTGTAATGACATTCTTACCCCCATCAAAACAAATAAAAGGCCTGATGTGTTATTAGTATAAAGTCATTTATGTAAGTTTACATATATTTACTTCCTTTCACCTTCATTCACCTTACTCAACTCTCAAACAACATATTACAATTCTCTTCTCTTCTCTTCCCTTCCCTTCCCTTCCCATTGTTTACCTTTCCTTCCCTTCTCTGTAAACTCCCAAACACACCATAACTGAATGAGCAATTTGTTGAGAGAATTTTATCCCAAAATCTTACCTCGCCAAAGGTCATGTCCCTGTTCCTTCGCAGGAGCTCCAAAACCTTCAAAAAATACATTAAAAAAAAAGGTTAATCTTCCAACTAAAGATAAACCAATTACAAGGTTCGTTTTTGAGAAATTTTTGTTGAGATTACTCACTCGTTTGATCTGTTCAACGTGTTCCAAGTCCTCAGGCGTCGCCTCCTGTACTTCCTCCACTTCTGTCTGCTGTTTCTGCTCATCGACGGAGACGCGGAGCTCGGCCTCTTCGTTGCCGACGGAAAATACTGGGCCGGCCCTGGATCGGAGGCGGAGGTTGGGCCGGGCCGGAGTGGGCCGAAGTGGAGGTGTCAACAGAGGGGAGAAGGATTTTGGGGATGGGGCTTGGTAAATGGGTGGGAGTGGAAGATGGAGACCGAGGACAGCCATGCTGATGATGGAGGTGATGGGAGCGAAACGAGAAAAGAAGAGGTCACCTATGTTTTATCTTCTGCTCTCAGCTCTTGGTTAGTTGCTTTTAGCCCCTACATCTTTCTGGAATTTGCATAAATGGACTCCTGGTAGATTTTTTTTTTATTGGGCATTTTTGTGGGACGGGCTGGGCCGAGGGCTCTTTGCTTTATGTCCTCAGTTGATTTCTGCCATAGTAAGTTGGAAGGTATACTGACTTTAAATACTAGCAGACCAAGCACAAAAAACTTGTACAATTTTTTTTGTTCCTTTTTTGATCAGCTTGTGAATCCTTTCTCGTAATTATGTCAAAAATTATATAGTTTTTTATTTGCAAGGGCAAAATTAGGAGGATGTATAATAATGGAAATATTTAAGAAATCCAAAATAAGTAGAACCAATATTCTTGCACTTGTGCTTACTCAAATGCTTTTAAGGCTTGGTTACTATAAGGGGTCCTTTGTTTCCATGGAGATGAAGTTGCAAAAGTAAATAGAGCCATCAGATTTATATATGTTTTGCAACGTTGTAATTAGAAGAGATCAATTGACTTGTATTTTGTAAAAAAAAAACTTATAGCAAATGTTACTACAAATTTGGTAAGAGGAAAAGGTATAACCTTCAAAAGGAAATTTAAAATATAAGATAATTCCACCTCACCAAAAAAAATTATTCCAAATAGAAAAATCATCTTCACCCAGGTTTCTATATACAATTATGTCTTTTCTTTTTGGATAATTTGATATTTAACCAAACCTTCAATCTAAATTGAAAATTTATTTCCTAAATATATACTTTCAAAATATACAAATAATGATTTTTTTAGTTTAGTTGTTGTAACAAATACTGCAAGTAATATTTGTTGCTGCAATATTTACTACACTTTATTTAGTGCTAAATAATATCAATACGTTTTTCTTATATGAGAGGCACAGAAAAACTAAAGTATGACTGTTGTAAGGTTAATAAGCACGCTTGTCGCTTTCTTCACGATTACTATATATATAGAGAGAGAGATTAATGGGTATCCTTGTCATAGGAGGGGATTTCCTCCTATGACGCCTCTAAAATCACATGATTGAGCGACATTGTGGATGATCCGCTCCGTTGAACATGATCTACATATTCTAAAACCCCAACACACCAAGTTTGGGGTGAATCCGTCGTCGTTTGACCCTCCATCGAGCCATGTCAAAAGTTCTATTCATTCAAAATCGTTAAAATTGATACGAGTGGATGAATGGTCAAACGACGACGGGTTCACCCCAAACTTGGTGTGTTGGGGTTTTAGAATATGTAGATCAAGTTCAACGGAGCGGATCATCCATAATGTCGCTCAATCATGTGATTTTAGAGGCGTCATAGGAGGAAATCTCCTCCTATGACAAAGATACCCATTAATCTCATATATCAACTAATTAGTCAAGCTATACCCATTAAGGGGCTGCTATATAATATATCAGTTATATACTATATAGTACTGAGAAATATGTATTGCTTGGTACCTAAGCCACAAATTTTATGCTTGGTAGTGATTGTTGTCACATCTCATCCACTCATTACCCATGTGAATTGTCCCGATATTTGAAATAAGTGAATGAAGATATGACACCTCTCACTGACCAAGCATAATTTTTTTGTGATTGTACCAAGCATACCATATTCCTATTATATATATATGTATTATAATATATCATACTTAGTGTATATATATATAACTCATGGATGAGGTTCTAATAAAAAGAATAGAGAACTAAAAACAACTAACCCTCCAACTATCTAATCAACTGGCCTACCACGCTTCAATGGCAGATTAGTAAATATACGACAAATTTATAACACATCATTAATGTGACGCGCGCAATTGGAACAATTAAATTACACCTTCTCACTGCTCTCTCGCTCTTCCTCTCTTCTCTCTCTCTCTCTCCTCCCTCACTCTCAAAGCTTGAACCAGCCCCCTCTCTCTTCTCGCCTCCTCACCAACCCACTCAACTCCTCACCGCTCCTCAACCCACTGCCCCTGAGCTCCCTCTCCCCCGACCGAAACCGGAAGCGTCTGACGAACGAGAACGCTCCCTCAGACCCGACGGCCGTCTCTCCATCTCCTTCGCCACCCTCTTTCAACACAACCCAGATCCGAAGCTCCTCCCATCCAACATTCGCTGAGTGAAATCTGGATTCACTCCATTGAATCTGCATTATATTGAAGCTCGATTCATGTGGATGAATCCAAGATCACTGAATTGATCCAGATTTACGTAACTGAAACCGTTATCACAAATAGCAAATATGCACAAAATAAAAAACAAAAAGAATAAGAAACTTATGGTAAAAAACAAGCTATAAAATTTTAAACCATGATAAGATTTCACATTTTACAGCAAAAAGTTACGATTTTTATGGTAAAAAACAAACACCTCACATAACTGAATCTGGATTCACTGTAGTGAATCTAGATTCACTCATGCGTTTATTTCTTCAAAATTACAGCACATGCATTTATTTCTTCAACAATTCATTAAAAACCATCCAAGCTTTCGCTCCAGTGAATCTGGATTCACTCCAGTGAATCTGGATTCACTCCAGTGAATCTGGATTCACTCCAGTGAATCTGGATTCACTCCAGTGAATCCCAGTGAATCTGGATTCACTCCAGTGAATCTGGATTCACTCCAGTGAATCTGGATTCACTCCAGTGAATCTGGATTCACTCCAGTGAATCTGGATTCACTCCAGTGAATCTGGATTCACTCCAGTGAATCTGGATTCACTCCAGTGAATCTGGATTCACTCCAGTGAATCTGGATTCACTCCAGTGAATCTGGATTCACTCCAGTGAATCTGGATTCACTCCATTGAATCTGGATTATATTGAAGAATAAGAAACTTATGGTAAAAAACAAGCTATAAATTTTTAAACAAAAAGAATAAGAAACTTATGGTAGAAAACAAGCTATAAAATTTTAAACCATGAAAAGATTTCACCTTTTACAGCAAAAAATTACGCTTTTTATGGTAAAAAACAAACAACTCACATACTGAATCTAGATTCACTGCTGTGAATCGAGATTCACTGCAGTGAATCTAGATTCACTTATGCGTGTCTTCGTTTTTCAACTGGTTTCTTCAAAAAATAAAAAACTTTTCAGACTAAAAGGTGAACTATTTCACCTTTTACAAGATGTTGAAGACAGAGAGAGAGTTGAGTGAACCTTGGAGGGTTGACGGAGCGGATCTACGGGTTCGGCGTTGGCGTCGTCGGAGGTGGATGATGGCGAGGTGGCAGGGGGTGGAGGAGCTCAGATATGGGTTGTTTGATGGTGAGAGAGAGGAAGAGAGAGAGAGGGCTGGTTCAAGCTTTTGGGAAATGGAGGAGAGAGAGAGAGAGAGGAGAACGTGAGAGGATTGGTTTTTAGTGGTTCAAGCTTTTGAGAAATGGAGTAGCATTAATTACCTCTCTTTAGTGGGCTGTTTATTTTACCTTATTACCCTTATGCAGCTTTAATCTTAGCCATTGGATGAATCTAGATCCAATGGAGAGGAGAGGTTTTTAGTTTTTAGGATAGTGAGGTTTGTATTTGAACCTCTCCCTATATATATATATATATATATTCATTCTAGTTGGTTTTTATATATTTTTGAAGTGTTGACGGCTTATGGATGAAATTCAGCATCATTCTAAAAATGGGCCAGTGTTGAATTAGACCCAAGCCTTCGGGAATTTAGAACAACATACCCCTACAATTATGGGCCAAACAAGGGCTTTCAATAAGGATAAATACAGCACAAGCTCCCGACTGTATATTTTTTTAATGGGATTGATGTCTGGAATGGATGCGAATACTTAAAGAAAAAATAAAGTCCACGCTTTTTATCTTTTTATTATATATCCTGAATCATCCTACGGAATCGTGAACATGTGCGTTGTTACACTAATCTTGTTCATTTTGATCATGGACGCTTTATAAGAATGGTTCACACCTAATTCATGACTGTATTCATGTCCATTAAAATTTATCAGGATGATACATCCAACTGAATAGCTTTTTTAGACGCCAGGTTATGTTTTTTGTCATAAAAAAAGGGGTATCTCTTCTAGAAACTTATGAAGTTTGTAAAGCTTTGGCGTGCATGTCACACACCGCCTGCGCATCCAAACACAGGCAATAAATGTCATATATTTCCCTAATTTCTTTGATATACCCAATCAATCCCTGAATTTAATGTTCAATTTTTATAATGGTTCACATGTAAAAGTATCTCTCAATTAAGTGTCAGTGTCACTAGTCCATACCTTAAAATATCAATATCCCAAACCGTAATTTCTTAGTGTGACACTAAGCTACGGCCGTAAGGTGGCACTAGAGGCATACCTTGTGCCACACCTTGGAACAGACTCTTTTTTCAACTACAGTTCACGAAGCCCATTTGAGATTTATTTAAAAATCTCAAGTGAGCCTCCTGCACTGTAGCTAAGAGAAGAATGTGTGTCCCAAGGTGTGGCACAAGGTATGCCTCTAGTGTTTTCCCGGCCGTAATCAGGAGATTCGTCTCCAACGGGCAATCTAAGATATTACCAAGAGAAGTATATATAAATACAATTATTGGACTACGTAATAGTTTCAAATAAAAAAATTTCGGTTGGAGGACAGGCTCCTCGAAATTCTACAGAATCCACACCTTTCAACACGTGTGCGCCTTTCAAACTTTTTTTGATTGCTACCTAGCGTGATATTTGACTAATATTTTTTTTCTGAGCAAGAGCCAACTCATTAGGATCTTGCTTAAGGAATCCCAACGCATTCGGATCACCTCCATTGATCAGAAACCACTAAAGTATTCCCTTATTAGTGCAGAAACAATTTATATATAATATTGTAGAGTACCTTTAAATTAAGAACTCATAAATCAGCAAAATTCCTGTGGGTTGAAGGCTTGAAGCAAGTGGGTTCAATTCGTACGTTGGATTGTTGCCGACATTAAAAAAATCACGCACGGATCTGCAGGTTACTTAACTATAGACTATTATCCTGAATGGATTAATTAATTAATGGCTCAATAA